TTCAGCGTTCTCATCCCTCTTTATTGCACACGTGAGAAAAGTAAGGCTCGGAGAGACAGTTCGGCCTGAGTTTAGTGAGAAGAAGAAGAAAGCCAGCCTGCACGAGTTGTGCTTCTGCTCTGCTGCGCTGGGAAAATGCTATTCTGTTCTGAAGACTGGGAAACTGAGGCACACGTGGTAATGACCGTCGCTTCCCAAGCACCCTGAGCTTGGACCCTCCCAGACATCAGCTCCACTCCTGAAGGCCCTTTGTGTGGAGAGCACCATCAGCGCCATCTTAGAAAGGAATGGGCTGAGGTAGGCCACTAGCCGACCGACAGAGGCCATGGAGGGGCCCGGACTTCCATCCAGATCTTTCTTCCAGCAGTTTCCTCTCCCTTTCAACACACGGCATGTTCCAGAAAGACACAACCATCTGTGAGACGGTCATGGAGAGAGTCCTATTCTTTCTCCAACAGGATTATTCTCAACAGAAATGCTTGTTTTGTTTTGGCCTGTTCTTTTAATTGTCGGTCTTGAATTTGCAACAGCGCCCCCCCACCCCGCCCTGAATAACATGTATATTTTCCTAAAAATTATCTGTAACAACAAGCACTAGAAATAGCGCAAATGCCCACCAATAAGTAAATAGTGGAAAAAGTATGCTGCATGTATCTGCAAAGTGGTCACCAAGACCAAACATGAGCATCAGGCCAGACCATGATTCATGCTTTAATCCACAGAATCTTCTATTCCTGGCTAATACTTTCATTACTCTATTAATTCACTAACCATCACTCTCCAACAATGATAAAAATTTCCCTCAGCATTAGAGAAAAAGGAGAAAAAGAAAAGAGTGTATTTCTGTTTAGTTGTAAGATATAAAGTTACTTTAGTCGTTTGACATTATCTTTTCTCTGGGTCCAAAATAAGTAGCTGGGTCTGACAGCACAGACCTGAGATTCGAGCTGCCAGGAGGACAAGATAGGAACACTGCAAGTTCAAGGTCAACCTGGACTATAACATGAATTCAAGCCTAGCACGCTGGGAAATATGTCAAGATCCTGTCAAAAAACAAAACAAAACAAAAAAAAGGGCTGTGGATACACATCAGTGATAGAATGTTTGTCTAGCATGTATAAGGTTCTACTAGTGTCCTCAAAGCAAAACAACTGAAAATTAACAGTAGAATTTCATACGGTTGAGCAAGAACACTTTAATAATTGCCTTTTTAAATCTTAAACTAAATTTCTAACCCACGTTGAGTCATTCTGTTCACCTTTGCCCCTTTAATTATTGTTTTTTTTTTTTTAATTTAGTTTTGTTTTTAACTACTCACCATTTAATGCTAAGTTGTCTAGAGGCTAGGCCGCTTAACAAACCAGTGAAGTTAATCGTGTGGACATGCCTCGATTCCCTTTACTCAGTCACCTTTTAACTCATTCAGCAGTTACTAGAACACGCATGGGCATTGGCTCTAATTCCTGTGCCGAGCACTGGGGATGCGTCTGAGAGCAAATGAGGGCAACCCTTTCCTCGGGGACTGTGGTTACTATCCACACACAGCACAAAATGACGTGTTTCAGCGGACAGGTCAAAGGACTGCTTTAATTTTTTTCAACCAGAATAATTGAATATTTATTCCAGTTGATTACAGCTACTGTAATTTTGTTGTGAATAAGCAGGAGCTTTTTCTCAAGCAGAACAAAAAAGGAAAGGAAAGGAAAGGAAAGGAAAGGAAAGGAAAGGAAAGGAA